GAGACTCCATTAAAAAACATTCAAAATCTTACTGATCACAAACTTTTGAATGGCAGTGTATGTATTCAACTTTGACAAACTTTAGTTTGACATAAAGTCTAGAGTTATTGCAAACAAAGCGGATGCATTGAACATTACCTTATTTTCATAACATGTTTTACCAGATGACAGCAATCTGTCCCAAAACACAGTGTAAATTGTAGTACCGTATTGGCCCGAATATAAGACGACCCTGATTATAAGTCGACCCCCCTTTTTCCAAATGTACCTTTTGGAAAAAGGCTTTTTAAAAACCAAATCTTGTTTTTTTCTCAGTAAAACACAATTTGTCTTCAATTATTTTCATGTTGCATATTTTTCCTATTTTAATTTTTGTTTTGAAAGTATGGTAAAAACTGGTAAAATGTACCAACAATCACATTTAAAAAATATACACTTTTTGATATAACATTAAAAAAAAGCAGGTAGCCCATCTGAATTAGGACATTTAGGCTATCCATCTAACACTAGCCTACCAAAATCTTATTAACAGTAGAAGTTAAATCTTACTGTAGTCTTCAAATCTGGGTACTGTCTTACGTTTTAAAATCACAAAGGGAGTTTGGTCCCATCAGGCTAACATGACAGTCACGACTCATGCAGCTGTAAGGTTTTCTTTTTCTTTTGTTATTACTCGCGATCTTTACAACACTCATTACATTACATATTTCATGGCAAATGAATCTCGTTTTATGCGTATTTGGTGCCACCTATTGTTGTGGGTGTATTATTGACATGTCAAAGTCTAGACCCTGAATATAAGACGACCGCGTTTTTTTCAGATGTATTTCCAAGAAAAAACATCGTCTTATATTCGGGTCAATACGGTATGTTCGTTATTTCAACTTGCTCTTTTTTTTTTTTAAGTTGAAATTTTCAACTTTTACTCTTGCGAAGTTGAAAATCAAAAATGTTCATGAACAGCCATGGTGTAAACATTTTTAATATAAAATTATACCTTTCCTAGATTAAATTAAATGCACGTTTTGACTTGAATTGTAAAGAAATAATTAGAAATGAACGAATTGTCATTTACTGAAAAGATCCACTTGAGTCTATACAATAGACACATAAATGCGCTTATCACCATCTGAGGCGGATTGTTTGCCGTTTTATTTGTTCTACCGTCTCTTTCCCATTTGTGTCCTCTTTCGGAGGTTTAGGGCGGATTCCAGACGGCGAGAGGGAATCGTAAACCGTTGACTCACCAAGTTTTCAAACAAAAACATGTTTGGGAGGGTATGCTAGACGTTTATCGTAAAAGTAACTCGTTTTCCTTTTTCTAGAACCTGTTCATCACCAACCTGAGTAAATATGATCTTGAGTACACAGTTACTTTAACCTGCCAACTTTATAGTTATAGTGTCATTTCTGCACCATCAAACAATTAGCAAAAATAATGAATGTTTTCCAAAACACACTGCCCGTCTGCTATTGGTCGGCCAAACAGATAATCTGAATAATCTAAAACACCTTGTGAGAGCAATAAGCTGTATCATTTCTTCTGTGATGTATTATACATTTTTCGGAATGATTATTTCATTTAACAGCTTTCTTCACTTCAGCTTTATAAAGCCAAATCCCCTTAAAGACCTTTGAAGCTGAGGTTGTTGGTGTCTCTTCTTTCATTTCCTCGGTGTCATGTGTCTCAGCATTCCTGTCAGTTTAAACCATCGCTGTGTGTGTGCTGGACTCGCTGCAGACGGTCTTTGCTCACTGGTTTGCGGTTGCCAGGCAGCCAGTCTTAAAGAGAGACATGTCTGAGTGACGTCACATGTTTGTCTTTTGTGCAGTGATGACACTTCTGTCATCTGGAGAAAGATTTGCACGTTACTTTTAACAAGTTAGCTGTTGTAGTTAGACTACATTTTATGAATGGAATAGAG